GTATGTGTTAAGTGTTTCTGCCAGCCAGCAGTACACCATGTTTGTTACCTAATATGAACCAACGCAAGCACTGATGTTGTGTGCTGCACTGTGACCGTACAGTGGCTGTGACATCATTAGATGATAGGAATCTTTCAGCACTGTTGTAACCCCATGGGGCCAGCATCGTGTACAGGGTTCTTCGGATCCCTGTCCTCGGATTCCCTGATGGAATGTTCTTTTAGGGTACATGACTGTACTTACCAGCTTTGTGTTCTTGGGCTGACTTAACCCCTCCAGCCTCAGTTTCCTCCTTTATGAATCCAGGGTAGTGGAATCTGCATCAGGAGTCAGAGACTGGACCTGCATTGGAGGAGACCTGGCCCACAAGGTGATGATTAGAAGCTGTTTATTATCTGTTGAGGAAAAAGTAACCGTATGATGCAGTCCAGAGTGGAAGAGAAGAGGAAATGTCAGAGATGCACAGTCCAAGCTGGGAAACAGGTCGGGTGTTTTCCAAATGACTTAAGACCAAGCTGCAGAGACTGCTTTCTATGTCTCTCTACCCCACCTGAGAACTCACCGAGCCGCTAGAGATGAGAATCTGCCCACATGAGGAAACTGAGGCCAGGGGAGTGGTTTGCCCATAGTACATGCCAGTCTGTGGCAGAGTAGAGCTCTCAGGCCTGTCTCAGGAAAAGCCAGACAAGATGGTGCGTGCCGGTAGTCACAGCTGTTTGGGCGGTGGGGCCAACAGGATCACTTGAGTCCGAGAGTTTGAGACCAGCTTGGACAGCACGAGACTCTCTCAAAGGAAAGAAAGAAAAGAAAAGAAAAAAGGGGTGGGGAGGGAGAGAGAAGAGAGAAAGCAAATGGAGTGGGGGAAGGAGAGAAAAAGAAGAGTCAGGAGTCTTGGTTGGCATGGATCAAAGCTGGAGAAAAACACAAAAATAAGTGTGGCCCTAGAGAAACTGTCCAGTGTCAGCTGTAGGCACTAACTCTAGGCTTTTGGTGTATTTCTTATCCATCTCCTCTAGAAGCATCTCTTGGTTTTCAGTGACTAGCTGAGCAGGCTTCCTAAGTTACTTCCTTTCATTGCCCGTCTTAGTGTTCGTATTTTTATTCTAGAATATCTCTGTCTCTGTCTCTCTGGCCCTTGTGTCTGTGTGTGTATCTCTCTCTCTCTTTTCTGTAGCAGGACTGGAACCCAGGCGCACTCTACCATGGAGCTTTTTCACTCTTTTATTTTGAGACCAGTTCTCCATAATTTTCCCAGGCTGACCACAGACTTGTACCTCCCGCCTCAGCCTCCCAAGTAACTGGGATTATAGGTGTGCACCAGCTTGCCCAACCTCCAATAAACTGCCTTCATTCTTTCATTCAGAAACAAATACTGAACACCCTAGATGCGGGGAATACAATCAAGAGCAAAAAGGATCAAACTCTACTCCCTTGTGGAGTTGTAATTAAGTGGAAGAGATAGAAAATAAACGCTTCCATATGTAAAGTACACAGAATGTCAGATGTGATAAGTCTGTGGGGGAAGTAATCAAGAGAAGGTGGCTGGAAAGTTCCCTGGGGACCGCAGTGAGCAGGCGCTGAAGGAGTGAGGGGGAACATTCTAGAAAGCAGAGGCAAGTACAAAAGACCTGGGGCCGGCGTGCGTGGGGCCAGTATGCACAGAGGCCTGTGGAGAGGAGGCCGAATGAAGGGCCTGGACCCAGCAGGCCTTGCTTGGAATCCATCCCCCACTCTGTCCCAAATCAAAATTATAATTTAAAAAAAATACACAGAGACTAAATCTGACATCAGAAATCCAGAGAGGCCAGCATGTCCCAGTTAACCGGGTAGGTGTGGTAACAGACCCTGACGGGCGCCCCTGCAGCCCAGCTTCAGGCCACTCAGGGACAGGTTCTGCGCCGCCTGCTGTTCTGATTTTTCAAGAGGCATCAAAACCTAGACCGGATTGAGAAATGTTGTGATTTTTAAAATCACCACCAAAACGCACATCTGGCTCAAAGTCTGTAATCCTCTCCCAAACATCTACTGCCCCAGCATCTAATTTCACCAAACGCTCTCTGTCTCTGACTCTGTTTCTGTCTCTGTCTGTCTGTCTGTCTCTCTCTCTCTCCAATTCCTGACCAGCAAGGGTGCCAAGACATGCTAAAAAAACTGCTTCCAGGAAAAAGTAGGCCTTGTGTCCCATGAGGCTGGGGCCGAGACTTCTTCCAAGGAGCAATCAGCTTGCTCCATTTTTATGTCTTTCTCAGGAGTTTTCCTGATCAGAGCTCATCATGGGGAATGGCAAGATGGTCCAAATCCGCCCTCCTCCGGGTTTTCATTAGTTTCACGATGATGATTATTATGTCATCTGGGGTTGATTTAGGAGTGGTGAAATGTCTGCAGGCTTCATAAATGCTTGTCAGCCACTGTTCAGAATGGCAAGGAACTTCTTGTGTTGTTTGCTTCCAACGGCGACAGACGTAAAAGTGGGGAGAGGAGACTTGAAGGATTCTGCCCAAGGAGGGTGAAGAACAGGCAAATTCGGTGGCCCTGGGACTTGAGGTATCGTGGAAAGCCCTCTGAGCTTTCAAACCTGGGGCACCCAGGCTGATGATACTGAATGTATTGTCTGTCTCCTCGGCCTTCAAGCTGGTGTAAAGCAAAGTCTCAGCCGAGGGGACCCATCGCTGTTGAAACTGTTCTGGATGTTAGTGACGGACAACTTACTTCAGAGTGAGTCAAACAAAAAGGAAATGTACTGACTTGGGAAGTGAGAAGTTCTGAGGAGTCTAGTTTCAGGCATGGCTGCTTCAGGAGCTCAAAGGTAGCCATGTCTTAGCCCAGGCCTGTTCAAGAGGGTCTGTGCTGACCACATCCGGAAGTCAGGGTGAAGGGGAAAGAGCCAGATCCCAAACTGAAGTCAGCACCCTGCGCTGGAAGTGGGAGTGGACTCAGTCCTTACGGCCCCCAAATCATATGATAGTGCAGACAAGCCTCTCCAGCCTTCTCCTGGGCCAGGGCTGTTGTGCATTTCCTCCTTTACTCCTCTGGCCTGGGTCCTTTAAGATGTACGACCATTCTGTCCCCCACCTGCTCTGTCACCCAGGACTGGAGGACCATGTTTTCTTTTAAGCAGGGATGATCAGGGGTACATCACCTTTTTCGTGGTGTTTTGTATGAAATCACCACTCAGACATTTGGGGCATCTAGCCAAGCATGGCTGATCACTTTCAGAGGAACAGTGAGAAACAACTGAGTATCCTCAGGCGTAGGAGGGGGACCCTTGCTGTGCTGATGTCCTGAGGCTTTGGATGATTAGCCTGTGCTGCCTTCCCTGAGCTCTGTGCTACTTGTACACGCGCACACGCACACACAGAACACACCCCCCATTATTGCCACCACTCAGTTTGTTCATGTTCCACCAGGGGCTGTGCAGGAACATCTCATGCAGCACAGAGGTTGCAGACTGGAGGCAAGATGCATTTTGTTTGGTCTGCAGAGCATTGAAAAAGGAGAACCGAGCCAACATGTGAAAATCTTGATCTCTCACACAAAAATGCAGATTTCTGGCTTCCATTAAAAACTCACAGGATCTGTCAACACTCTGACCACATTTCCATATGACTTTCATTGATTGGAGCTAGGAAACGGCTGTCCGTTTTGGATGGACAGCCTAGTTCACCCCAGTCCCCACTGCACCCTACTATCTGTCAGAGCCCTAAGCTCAGTGTTACCCACATTTTCCCATTGGGTTGGTGGGGTTGGCTCTCCTGCAGTAGAGTTGGAAGACCAGTTGGCCACCACTATTCAAAAAATGAAAGAAAGCCTCTGTCTTTGGGTAGGTTAAGGTCCCCTAACCTTGACACTATGAGCATTTGGGGGATAATTCTTTGCCGTTGGGGCCTGTCCTGTGTGTGATAGGATCGCATTTCACATGTCCACACATGGACCAGACCCCTTTAGAAACGTAGGTCCCGTGTTCCTGGCACCCACCATGACACAAAGTGACACAAGCAGGGGGGACACATGTCCTAGCTCTGCATGGTACCCTGGTGGGCTCAGCACTGGCAGTGGAAGTTATGAGTTGGCTGATGGTTTAATCATTGGTGGACTTGCCAGCCACTGGGGCTGCCTCAGAGGTCATAAAGGAAATTCAGCATTGGATGAGAGGTTCAACCATTTTTTTACAAAAAAAGCTTTGCAGAATTTCTTAGGCCAATGCTCCTCTCCAAAATTTTCCAAAGAATTTGGGAGCATGGGTGACAATTGAGACTTGTCAAAGACTGGACAGAGAGACCATGGGAGCTCTGGGTGTCTCTGGACGTGTCCTCTAGCTCTGGCTGTGTGAGCTGCAGCTCAAAGAGTGAGTTACCCCAACACTAGTTCAGAACATCGCTTATTACATTTTTGCACTTGTAACTGCTGTAATATGGAAGCTCAGTGGCAGGAATGTCCAGGGGGAGAAATCGTTTTCCCTAGGCTAGTGCTTCTCCAGAGAGCGACTTGCCTTTCCCCCGTGTTTCAAACCATGTCAGATGTCTGAATTACTGCCCATTTGGTTTCCTGTAGTAACTGTCCCAGCCACCATTCATCCACTCTATGCAGATTACTGCACACCACCCATGCAGCTGCCACTGTCCCAGGCACTAAGCAAGACCCGTGATCAACACCAAGTCCCTGCTCTCGGGGAGCGTTCGTTCCATAGAAGTGAGGTGAGCAATGAAAAAGAACCCGAGGAAATAGGATTTAATGTAACAGAGTGTCAGGTGCCATGGAGAAAAATAAAGCCAGCAAGGGTGTGTGTGTGTGTGTGTGTGTGTGTGTCTGTGTATCTGTGTTGTCAGGGACTATTGAAATAGCACAGGGAAGACTTTTAAAAATTTAAATTAATTTGATCTAAAATTGAGTAGTTATTGCTGTGGTCTCCTAGGAAACTAGTAAAGGGTTTGCCACTTACCCTGGTGTAAATACCTCTACCAGGACCAATTTCAAGCAACCAATGGTTTAATAAAGTTTACGAAATTCAGCCCGGCTCCCAGCTGTTTCTCCCAGCTGTTGGGGCTCTAGCAGGAAGCTCCCTGTAACTGTCAGGCAAGAGGGCACAGCAAGCTCAGATGGGCTGTGCCTGGGGTGTTCAGGAGCAGCTGGAGGCCAGTGCAGCAGGAGCTGGTGAAGGGAGAGAAGACGAGATGTGGTCAGAGGACTCCTGAGGGGCAAGTGACAGAAGGCATGTCGGGCGCTGGTCCCAGGTTTGGTTTATACTCTGAGTGGGCTGGAAGCCACTGAGCAGAGGAGAGACAAGACCCAAAGTGAACGTACCTGAATCCCTTGTCCTGAGACCAAGCGCAGGGGCAAAGGGCGGCCGGGGGGAGACTGAAGGAGGACTGCCTGTGGAAGGAGGTGACAGTGACTTGGCTGAGAACGGTAGCACTGGGGTCTATGAGGAGCGGCTGGATTGGGGACATATTTTGAAGATAGAGCTGCAGAGATTTGCTAGCATTGGTTCTAGGAAAAATCCAAAGAGAGGAGTCCACGGTGATTCCAGGATCAGACCTCAGTGTCTCCAGGGAAGAAGCCACCACTTCTATGCTGGGCTGCCAGTGGCAGGTGCAGGAAGGCAGGCAGACGGGACTTCCTATGTGTACCTTCAATATCCTGCCACCACCTTCTAGGCAACTTGCAGGCGACTTATTTTATTGGCCTGTTTTTAAGAGGATGCCACAGAGACCCAGGAGGTGCAGCAGCGCACGCACCATGGCCCTGTGGCATGTTCCAGGCAGCACACTCGGCCCTGTGGCACTATGCTGTCAGGCCTGGTTTCCTTGGCTCTCCCAACCCCATTTCTCCTCCTCGTTTTGAGGAAATAGGAACCAAAAAACTCTACAGAGGACCCCACCGCCTCACTGAGACCCTTTCCCTGGTCATGAAGAAACATGTCATTTCTGCTCAAGGGGCCCAGTACCAGCCTCTTTCCATGACAGATTTGCTGGGTGAGCCTCCTGCAGATCTATAATTCTGTAGGAGAACTCATACTTTGACAAAAGCTTAACATCGCTAAGCAGAAGGCTGTGATTTTGCTCAAGAAATTGAAATCCGGACTCTACCACTTACTTAATGGCCTTGGCCACCTGTGCCTTAGTTTTCCTGTCTGTGCAGTGGGAGTGCTAAGGCTCTTTGTGGGTTGGATGAGATCATGCAGGTGAGATGCTCGGCACTGGGCCAGGCCCCTGGTCCGCAGGACACTTGTTCCAGAGGGAGAAGGGAAAGGAAGTTGAGCCAATGTTCTAACTTACGTTTGAGGCGGGGGACAAGGTCTGCAGAGCGCTGGTTCCTGAGAGCGTGGTGGCTGGGCCTGCCCTGTGCTTGCTCTGTGCGCCTGTCCGCCCACCTCGCCTCCACAGGTTGCTGTACTCTGGGTCCCAGAGGAGCTGCATCCGCCTCGCACTGCCTCCTGCCTGGGTTGTCACTTGTGGGACGCAGAACAGTGTGTACTCCCAGCAAGCAGATCCCCAGATGCGAGCCGGCCCAGGGCCGCCACGTTTCTCCTGATGAAATTCCTGACTTGGTGTGTTGTGTTTTTTAAAAAAACACGCCCACTGCCTCCAAAAACCTCAGCTGGGGAAGAGAAACTTTTCTGGTTGAATTACCAGTTTTTGAAACGGTGTCAAATTATGCCTCCCTTTCATAGCCTGGATACACCGTGCTTCCCACGGGCTGCTTCTCAGAGAGGCCTACAGGGCAGAGTGTGGAGATTGTCCGAGCCAGTCTTTGCTTTAAATAGACAGGGAAACTGAGGCTCGGGGAGGTGAGGAGCTGCCTCCTAGGGAGAGCTGGTTTCAGAGTCTCAGGCATACTCAGACCTCTAGATTCCAAGCCCATTTTCCTTCTCCTTCCTCACAGGCCACAAATAGGCAGCCTGTGGCCATCTCTGCCCCACAGATGTGCTTTCTTTGGCCTGAGGATGTTTTGATTTGAATGCGTTGCCAGCATTTAAAAATCAGGAGATTCCATATAAAAAACCAGATTTCTGGCTTCTTTTGGGCCACTGGGACATGTTCCAAATGAGGTCTGCATTCCTGCATGGTGACAGTTGAGGGTCTCAGTTGCGGCCTCTTGCCTTACCCAGAACCTGTGCTCTTGTTTACCCCAGTCCCCACCTCTCCCTCTAGTGCGCCCAGACGCTGGGGCACAAGGTCAGCGAACATCACAGGTCTTCCCCTGCCACTCTCAGGGAGCAGTGGAAAGTCATATATTTCTTGCACTTGTGTCTCTGTCAAAAACAAAGAAAACACAAGATCAACAGAAATGACGCTTGTTTAAAAAAATAACGGCACAGAGTATTTTTCCTTTGTGGCAGGGGAGAAAATTTCTTTGAATTTAATATGCGAACAGAATGGCAGTGTTGAAAATAGCGGCCCCGCTGCTCCCCGAGGTTGTCTCTCCATCCCTGCCAGCCATCCCCACTGGCCAGGGCTGTAGTTTCCACTTATTTTTTTAAGGCAGAATTAACTTGTTTGACCTAAATCTGCCCCATTTCTCTGAAACTTGAAATGCTATTAAACCAAATTAAGAAGTTTTAAAAATGTGAAATAATCTTTAACAGCTCAAGAAAGAGCCTGTGTGAATATGTGCGTGCACTTGAGTGAGTGCGTGTGTAAGTATGTGTGTCAAGATGAATGTATGTTGCGGGCGTGTGTCAGTGTGTGTGTGTGTGTGAGTGTGTGGGTGTGCATGAGCTATTATGTTGCAAGTATGTGTGTGAGTGAACGAGTGTGTGGGGGATTCTGTGCGTCTGTGTGTGTAGGGGTGTGTGTGTGATGGCTTCTTGGTGTATGGGATTTCCCCAAAACAAGGCAGACGGTGCAGTGCGTCTCCCTGGCTCCGGGGTTAGCATTTCCGGGTTTTATCTGAAATGTAAGCTGTAGCACACAGCCACACTGCTGTCCACTCTGCTTTTACAATGTTTTGTGATGTGGGTTAGGGCTCACTTTCCTTCCTTTAGGGATATCTAAGGGAGCTGTGGAGAGAAAAGTTGAGGTACCATGCCTCAGAAACAAGGCGCTTTCTTCCCAGGAGAGAGGGGCAGAGGATGGAGGACGGGCTCTCAGAAGGCCCGCTGCATGCCCGACTCTGCTATGCGGAACCAGCAGTGGAACTTTCTTCTAATCCTGATGTGTTCTCTTTAGCGTGTGCTGGGTAAAAAAGAGTGAGAGAATCTAAAATGTACGTGAATGAGTGGTACTTCTCAGACTGAGTCTGCGTTTATTTAAGGGAAAAAGGAGTCCATTTAAAGAAAAATATGTAAAGTGTGCAGGTATCCGGTGAATCTGACAAACCGGTGAAGGGCAGATGTAACCTGACCCCCGCAGTCCTGCGCACCTCCCGGTCGGTCGGTGGTCAGCCCATCCTGAAATTTGTAAATGCACTTGTATCATCTTGTACCTCCTCAGAGCACTTAAGCTTGTCACTAAATACTTAATTGTGTGATCTTTTGCGTAATCTGTCTTTTGTCAACTGGAGCTGGGCCTGTCAGGTTTGCCTCTCTTCCCAGCTTCTGCCAGGCTGCCAGCCCACAGGACAGGCACAAGAAACGTCAGCAAGTGAATGCGCGCGCACCCTGCGGCCGGCAGTGACCGCCCCTACTCTACAGATGAGGAAACTGAGGGTCACGGCGGCTAAGCGACATGCTGAAGGTTTGGCAGGTAGGGTGCAGTGAGCCAAGACTCACACTCCCAGTTCTATGCTGCACGAAGCCTGTCGGCTTGGCACCAAAACCAGAGCCTAGGCTCACATCAGGCCGTGACAGCTGGTCTGTCACTGAAGAAAAGAAGGTGGACCAAGAGGGCTCCATAAGGCACGCTGGCTCAACTGAAAGTGTTGACTGTCACTTTTATTTTCTTTCTGTGTTGAGGGTGCTCAATTTCTCCTGTGTAGTTTTTAAATATTTTACTTGACGAATCTCAATGGCAACCAAGTACCACATCTGCCGCCCCAGTAGAGCCCCGGCTGTAGCCAGGCCAGGCCGGGCTGGCTCTCAGCAGGGCAGCTGCCCAGGTGGGGAGGCTGTGACAGGCAGTACAGACCCGGTCCCCTGCTTGCTGAAACAGCTCAGGGCTTAGCAGGGCACAGATAGGCAGAGATGCCTGCTTGGGACTGGGTGCCCGGTGTTGCATTGTGAGCTGGAGAGCAGTAACCTCACAAGCCTGCACAGCACTTTACAGTTTACCGATGACCCCGCAGCTACTTTCTCTCCTTTCCAGTGTTAGTCCTCGGTAATGAATGATGCTTGCCTGACACCTTCTGGCGTTCCTGTCCCATTTCCTCTACCTAATCCCAGTTCCAGTGTAGACACATGGCCTCAGCCAGAGTGACCAGCATTCTGTCCACATGCCCTCAAGGGTCATCAGTTCGGGCACAGGCTCAGTAAGGTCCAGTTCTGGGAACTTGGCTGGAATTGTTGGGGTAATGTAGCCGCTTCGCCCTGAGTTGCTAAACTAGTAGAATATGACCATCTTGTTCCGAGAATTCCTGTCTGCGAGTAAAGGCCCCTTGGAGGAAAACAGAAACAAGATGTAGAGGGCAAAAGATTCCCTGTGATGTCACTGGGGCACCTGGATCCAGCTGCTCCTGAAGCTAAGAATCATGTGTTATCTAGTCATACCAGCCAGGGCAAGTACTCAGCTGCTCTGGCTCCACTAGTTATTTATGAGGATCTCCTATACATTTTTCTATAGCATTTGGACTCATTTTTGCAAGACAGTGGCTTGACTTTATTCATGAGGGATCTGAGACACAAAAAAGGAAGTGAAAGAAGTTAGGGGCAGTACTTGGGCCTGTTTTACTGAGAATATCCACACTAGCTTTAGATTTGCGAGCGGGGAGCAGTTTGTAATCCCCAGAACCTCTGTCCCCAGGGAGGGCAGAGTGCTATGTGACCCGGTGAGCAGCCCCCGAAAGCTCAGGGGAACCCTATGAGAGACATAGTAAGAGCAATGCTCACAGACATTGCAGATGCCTAGAAAAGTTCTGGAACGTGCAAAGAAAATTAGTGAGCCATCATGACCTGTGGGGGTGAAAGCAGAGGCTTACTTTATCTCTTCTGCTGTTCATCTTGAAATCTTCTATAAAGGCATGGATTGTTTTATAGTCCAGTGAATTTTGAAGTGTAATGCTTGCAGGCTTTCATCTAGAATGACAGAAGCACCAAGCACTCAATTATAAGCCACTGAAAAAATACAAATCCATGAATACATGCCAGTAATAGATAAATAAAAGAGGGAGGAGAGAGGTTTCTTGCTTAGGGAAGGAGGCCAAGGGGAGGGGCTAGGTGAGAGATGCATTTTACTGCGACCATGATGGGAAAGATCGGCTCAGTCAAGAACACCCCTTGCATCCTAAATCTGGGGTAGAGGACGTTTGTTAAGGGTAAGATTTTACGTCATCTTAAGGATCCCATAGAGATGGCTTGTTAATTTTAGGAAAAAATAGTCACTATGCAGTGGGGATGCTGGACAATCCAGTAACAGGGCGGCAGCGCCAACCTCATCAGGTACTGATGGACACGGTGCCCAGAGAAGGGTGTGTCCTCACCCATGGATCGAGTATGAGGGGAGGGCGGTCAGACTAGTGCATGGATCACCCTGTGACATCACAAGCACCGTATCCTTCCAAAAAACAGCACTGTTGGAAAGAACAGAGAAAGGCTGAGGAAACGTTCGAGATGAAAGTAGGCTGCCCAGACATGCCAGCTAGATGCCCTGCCTACTGCCAGACTATTGTGCAGGCAGGGAAATGTGACCAGGGACATTCCTGGGCAAGTGACAAATTGGACGAGGGAAAGCGGGTAGATGAAACAGCGTATCGGTGTGAAAGTTACTGAAGTTGATAATAGACCTAGGATTATGTAAGAGAAATGCCCTTACTCTTAGCACTTATACGTGGGAGTATTTAGTAGTAAAGGGCCATCGTGTGTATTACTTACTCTCAAATGGTTCATAAAAAGAAAACTAATATGTGGTGTTGGTATGTTTATGTATAGGTGTGAGTGAGTGTAGAGTATACGTGAGAGTGCAAGTGGTAAAGTAGTAGGTGCAACACTACCAGCAAACACATCTGGGTGAGGGTAAGTGTCTCTACTGTCCTTGCCTAGTTCGGTGTGGTGTTTAATCTTGACTGTCAACTTGACAGACTTGAGAGGCGCCTAGGATATTACTGTAGCACACTTCCGGGTGCCTCTGGGTGGGTCGTAGGAGCATGGCCTTGGGGACACTACCTGGTCCCTGGTCCCTTCCTCTCTGGCTTTTCTCCTGATGTCTGCTTCCTGGCTGCCATAAAACAGGCAAATTTCCTCTGCTCCACCCTTCCACCATCCTTTCCTGCCTTGGAGCCAGCCACCTAGAGACTGAACCCCCGGAAACTGTAAACCAAAAGAAAT